TCGAGAGAAGACCCACAGTATTTTAATATTTCTTAACAAACCATGTAGCTGAGAGCCAAAACTACATGCAGAATGTCAGCTGTGGTCTCCAGGCCAAGAACATTTTTCAAATAACCTTAAATTATCAGTTGTGTCCCTTGTCTTTCATTCAAAGATTTTGTTTGCTTTGAAAAGGGTCTAAGAACATTATGCTGAGTGTTAATAATTCTACTGATAGTGTAAAATTGCAAGATTTAAGTCTTACTCCTCAAACATAATTAACACACATCAATCTTCTGCTTACCAAATCCTCATAACCTTATGCTTCCTGTATTAAATTATACCTGCTATTTTTCTGCTGCATTATTTGAGCTTATCCGGATAAACTTTGTACACATTGATATTAATAATTTACCACTGCTCACGATTTGCACTTGTCCCCTGTAAATTAAGAGAAAATTAGTTTTTCTGAAAATTTAACTGTACTTGATTAGTCTTTTAACCTCTAGAAGTAATATACTTAATTTCAATCCATTCTTGACATAGAAATTTGGTTCAAGAACATTTTGTCTATTAAAAAGCCCCATAGTATGGCTGTGGTTTTACTTTTCAAGTGGGATGGTAGTGGAACATGTTTGGCATTTATGAAGCAAATATAATAACATTTGCAAATTATAAAGAAATGGTGTTAGTGCACAGCATATGATCACGGGTTATGTCAGCAAATCTCCAGGGATATGTCCAACCAAAAGTTGGCATTTGTACCTCTGGGAAAACGTTGTTTTTGTTTTCAGTTGCTTTCACCAGGATTAACAAGGTTCTTGAAAAACAGAATATTCCAGATGCTGGGAGTCGGAAATAAAAACTGAAAATACTAAAAGGTTATTGATTGTAAACGTCAACTCTGTTTCTGTCTCCACAGTTTTCAGCTTTCTGTTTCTAATATTTTCTGTTTTTATTAACTAGCTTCTATGTTGGTGATTAAACATCTTCTTTTATTCAATATGGCCAGCAATTTCAGTAAGTGAACTTACTTAATTACCTTACCTTGAGAATTGGTGTTGAAAGTCAATCCTGTTGTAAATGGTGCTCCCATTAAGAATGAACCAAGACATGCTCCAGAGATGATCTTGAACAACTGATGCTTGTACTTGTTTTAGTGGATTATTTGGGTGATTTGATGGTGGAGGGTCTTCAAAAACAGAACATCTGGTTTTCCGCAGTTAGGAAAGTTGGTTAAGAAGAGGAGAACAGCCTGAGTTTGTGTTTAACTATGAACTGCAGTAAAACAAGTGCAGAAGACAGATTGATTCCTGCTTACATAAATGGATGTCTAACAATATGACATTGGGCTGCCCCGTCACTAGAAGGGAGAATTCTTTGCAGCAACTGTAGTGATTGTAATAAAGTCAGCTAGGTGGATCTCGTTGAGTATGATTTCCCTGATTGCCCAGATTAACAGCCCCAATCAGGGAGCCTTCGCTGACAGTATCTGCAAGGTTAGTGGTTCGAGATAACCCAGGCAAGGAACTTCAGTTGTTTCAGATCAAACAATTAAACTGACCATGTACCTACATTTTAACCCACTAGAGATCTATAATGGGATTGGATTCAACTAAACCTGTAAACAGGAATGTTTGGGAGTCGGTTTAGCTTAGTTGGTTGAATGGTTGATTTGTGAAGCAGTATGATGCCAACAGCATGGGTTCAATTCCCGTCACCGGCTGAGGCTACCATGAAGGACTCTCCTTCCCAACCTCTCCCTTCACCAAGGTATGGTGGCCCTCAGGTTAAATTACTACTAGTCATCTCTCTCTCTCTCTCTCTCTCTCTCTCTCTCTCTCTGTAATGAGAGAGTAGCCCTATGGTCTGGTAAGACTGTGGCAGCACAAATACAATAAACATGAATGTTGGAAGCTCTGCTCACTCTGAGAGCTGGTTCTGAGGAAGCTGAACCACTGTCTGGCTGAATTCCATCCAGGGCTGTCCAAAATGAAGATGTTGGTGAGAAGTAATGTTTGGTGGCCAGAATTGGATGCAGACATATCTGCCTTGGTGGGGCAGTGCCCGGAGTGCACTGGAGAGGGGGGAGTAGCATCAGGAGTGCCAAGGCCAGACACAAGACCCCTGTAAGCAGAAGAGAGACAGTTTACTTCGGGGACAAGGTTTGACACAGAAACCACGGAAATGGCCCTGGATGGGTAAGAAGCATAGTCGATATTAGGTCAAGTCTGTGAAGTTCAGGTATGAGGCAGTCCTGAACAAACATGCGGATTCTGGTTCTGAGGACCAGTGTCAAGTACTATGCACGTGCATATGCAGGGTGACTTGGTGATGGGATACTGGCCACTGTGGAGTTATTTCAGTAACCTCAGCTGATGAAGGAATTGAACCTGTGTTGTTGGTGTCGCTCTTCATTGCAAACCAATCCCGAACAATATGAACCTGGTAATATCAAAAGCCATTGCAAGGTTACATCATTGTGCAGCTGTGTAATGACATAAATGTTATAACACATTTTCCTCGCTGGTCAGCAGACTATCTTAATGCTGTTATGAAGACTTCATAGAGAATTGGCTCATGAGCAGGAAACTTTGAATAGGGGTAAGGGGTTCCTTTTCAGGTTGGTAACCTGTGACCAGGGATCAGTGCTGGGACTGCAACAGTTTACATATATATGAATGACCTGGAGGAAGGAAGTGAATGTACTGTAACCAAATGTGCAGACAACACAAAAATGGATGGAAGGGCAAGTTGTGAAAGGTATACAGGCAGATTCAGTAAGAGGGCAAAAAGTTAGCAAATAATGTGGGAAAGTGTGAAGTTGTTCATTTTGGAAAGGTGAAAAAAAAGACATCTTATTTAAAAGGAGAAAAAACAATGCAGAAAGCTGCAGCACAAAGGGAGTTGGGTGTACTTGTGCATGAAACACAGAAAGCTAGCCCTGAGGTGCAGTGGGTACTTAGGAATGTTGGCCCTTATTTCAAACGGGCTAGAATATGAGAAGACTTACTGCAACTGTATAAGGTGCTGGTGAGGCCATATCTGGAGTTATGAGCAGATTTGGTCCCCTTATTTAAGTAAAGATGTTTCATTTGGAGGCAGTTCAAGATAAGGTTCACTGGGATGATCCCCAGAATTGAGGTACTGTCTAATGAGCAAAGGTTGAATAGGTTGGGATTCATTGGAATTCAGAAGAATGAGAGGTGATCCTGTTGAAATGTATAGGATTTTTAAGGGGTTTGACAGGGTCACTGCTTGGTGGATGTTTCCGCTTATGGGAGAGTGTAGGATCAGGGTGCAAAGTCTCAGAATAAAAGGGCCTTCAATTTAAGACTGAAATGAGGAGGAATTTCTTCTCTCAGGATTGATAGTCTTGGAACTCATTGCCCCAGAGAGCTGTTGGTGCAAGTTCTTGAGTATATTTAAGCCTAAGATAGATTCTTGATCAGTAGGGCTATTAACGGCTCCAGGGAAATGGCAGGAAATTGTGCGTGCGGAATGTCTGATCAACCATGGTCCTGTTGAATGGTGGAGCAGACTTAAGGGGGTCTACTCTTATTCCTATTTCGTATGGTCTTGCTTAATGATATTTGTGGACTTGAGTTAGAATCCTGGACTTTTCTCCGCAAGTGAATGAAGGGCATTGGACCTTCTTTTTGTAAACCAGACATTTCTCAGTAGTCACATGTGTTGTAGTAATTGCTTGTTTCTTGGAGATCCCTGCCTGGATTAATGACTGCCTGTTTGCAATGTCTGCTTTGGAGATTGTTGAGACTAGTTAATATCCAGCCTGCAGAAAGAAGGGAGCTGTCCAGTTTAGCAGCGCTGTTTTCTGGAATAGAACTGTTGTTGTGGATACAGTGTTGTATCTAGAATCCTGGTCCAGATGCTGTTGCATGAGAAGCCTCTGAAAGAATTTTTCTGATATCGTCTAAATGACTGCTTCTACAAAGATTCCCAGCAACAGCTGTATGTGTCCAACGACATCTGTCTCTATACTAGAATATCAGCTGAATAGCCATATGAACATCCTAAACCTTATTCTTTTTGCCTTCAAGAACAAGACTTAATGGCCAAAGTGGGTGTTTTCTCAAAGTGAATCTCTGCAAACAAATCTATCTTTCTTTTACCTTGTGTTTGTGTGCGTGTGCATTTGGGTTTATTTAAAGGGGTAAATTATGTTGCTTATTACAAACCAATTCTGCATCTAATGGAATAATGTTTTTTAATTTAATTTTGTTTATTGAATAAAAAGAGCCTTTAACCAGGTTTATTTAATTCTAGCATAGAAAAAAAACATGACTGGCCATATTGGGAACCAGATAAAACAATTGCAAAAATGTTTTGACCTGTGAATTTCTGGGACTTGAGAAAGACAGTACACTTATCTCAGTCATTGATAAGTCTAACTTTAACCCCTTCTAATTCTCCTTTAGTGCTTTGTCGTATTATCTGAATGTCCTAAAATACACTCTGCCAATTTATTTTCATTTTGAAGTTCAGCCATTATATTGTAGCCAGATTCAACAATCAATTTATGTGTATTAAGCTTCCACATATTGCAAACAGGAAGAATATTCAGTTAATGTGCCAGTCATTGGTGGCGTGGTCTTCTGAGTCTTTAATGTTGTTTATTTCTCTAGGGACACCACAGTTTTTACACCTGAAGTTTAGTCGATATAGAAATGTGGCTTTTCTTTGAATTTGCTTTAAAAAAAAAACTAACCTCAAATAATCCAAATTCAAATATGCAGACACAGTAACAGGAAAATAGACACTTTAATTTTTATCTGTGAACAGTGTCATTGAGAAGTTAACTGGAGTTTCTTCTCCATTTTTACATTTCATCACATCTTCATGATTTCACCTCAGCTTCTAATCCATTCTAATAATGCATAAACTATGTACTCACACAGTTAAATGTTAATTGAAAATGAGTATTACAATTGTAACTACAAAACACATAACCATCAGCCATTCAAACTTTAAATTTTTTATATTGGAAAATAAGCACAACAGATTATATCCCACGGTTAAAAGTACAACACTTCCACCATTCCCCCAAGAAAATTGATTAAAAACATTTAAAATATCTCTGTAGAGGAGACACATTGGAATTTATAAAACAGCCAGAAATACAATGTAGAGGTTAATTAACATATCAGACAGAGCCAGAGTTCCAGCAAAGCATCTTTGAATTAACTGTGCAGCCAACCATTATCCTTTCCCTCAGTCTTGCATCTTCAAATTATGTAGCATACTCTTACTTTTGCAATGATTACCAATAATTTGGCTCACAGCCACAAATGATTTATTTGGAAAATAATGATAACCCACATCTTTGTACAGTTACCTAACCTCATTTATAGTGACAGTATAATTCCTGCTTATTAAAAGAGGCACTTGTCTTAAGGCCAACTTCACGTTTCAAGTTCAAGGTTATAACTGAAGCTACATTGAACTAACTGGAACTATATAGTGTATTTAATTACAGTAAAGCTTTGTGCATTTCACATGCTTAAAACATGCATTAATTTAAATTGTGCAAACTTAACATTTCTGGCAAACGTGCAGGTGGCAGGTCGAATACATCTACGATGGAAGACAATCACAGGTTCACTTTAGGCAGCCAATAGCTGCAAAACCCAAATATTTAGCCAAAGCATTTAGCAATAAAAGTGTATTTCGGTACTTTGATAAAACAAACACTATATAGACTTCAACCAATAAAAAAACGGAAAAGAAAAAACTTTACTTGACAAAGCTAGCATTTGTAATGCTGGTTTTTGAATATGTGCAATAAGGTTAAACTAGGGTGACAATTTATAAACTAATGGCATTTCAGTTAATTTTCAGCCCAAAATTAAAAGTATGGTTATTAGAAATGCAAGCCTAGTTCTACTTGTCTTTGTGAAGCAGCCACACCTAGTTTATAATCAATATCTGTTTTCATTGAAAAGCTTCATTTTCACCCAGATTCTTTGATTCTCCGTGCTTCAAAACAAAGAAATCCTCTGGTTTCAATCCATATCTTTCTCGAGCTTCCTCAAGTTTCCTTCGAGGTTCCAAGTAGTACTGGAATTGAAATAATTGTTTAATAATGCATACTAATGGACACAAAGGAAAATATGACAACATTAATGGTAATAAACTATTTATCATTTCAGTATGATCTCTAAACGGCCATCTTAAAGTTTTACACTTCATTCATTAACATTTTATTCTTTCTCCTCTATTGTTCATTTTAAGATCCACTCCATTCCTTACTTGAGAGATCAGGAAGTGACTTTCCCACGATAAGTGACAAGGAGGTATAAAGAGCAAGCTAGAGTAATTGGATTGCTATTTTTCCTTTCCAAATCATCGTTAACACTTTCACACTTAACCTACCTTGATGCCAATGTTAGCAATTGGACATATGGGAAATTAGTTTAACTGATGCTGTTCTCCCATTTTGTGGTAAGATATACTGGAACACCAATTGCACAAATCATCATTCGGCTCTACATCACACTTCAGAATCAAATTATTTGAACCGTTTGTGAAATCAGAAAATTATGCATTACATTCTACAAGTACGTTCTGAAGATATAGCAACTTAAATTGAACAGGTCCCAAAAATGAACTCTCCACACATATTTGGCATCCATTTAATATGATGTAAGTAATATGCCAGCATCTGGCTCCTGCTCATTACCATGATTTTAGAGTGGAGCCAATGATAATCATGCTGATGAGTGGCTACACAGCCCAACAGAGATCCAAAATAGCATGAGTTACAGCTAGTTACAATGATTAGCACGTACATGTACCTCTTAAAGCAGAAGTTCATTGTGGCTGAAGCAGGTATTGAAAGTCCTTCTGCAAGTCATGCTGATGTACAAATTAACTGAATAATAGCAATGCATGCAAGAAAGAATGTTCCAATATTTTCAGAATTTGCACTGGAGGTCTTGGTGGTCATGCAAAGGAGTCTGTCCAGAAATCTGCTGAGAAGTCAATGGAATTTGACAGCTGCAACAGTCAATGCCAGATAATCAATGTCCCTAAGGACATGAATGCAGTGTTGCGAAAAAAAAATTAGTGACCTTACACAAATGATTAAGTGACTTAATCTTTAAATATCCATAACCCACCAACTACAAGCCTCATATAATGCACCAAAATCCCTATCATTTATCAAATTGCCAATCAGTATTCTGAACTAAAATTCATAGCTGCACCTGCATTGCTGCAGCAAGCCTTATACCTGTATCTCTCAACTTGCACACACTGATAGCCACTAACCATGACAGCCACATCAGCTAAACAGATTGTACCATATTAACTGATATACTTTTGATTTATCACTGCTGCCATGCAAGCTCAGGCAATTGCTTTCATGGCTACAATTGCCATTGCTTAATATCATCTCCATTCCCTACTTGAGAGATCAGAAAATGAATTTCCATGATAAGTGATAAGGAGGAATAAAGAGCAAGGTGGAGTAATTGGATTGCTGATATTTCTTTCCAAATCACTTCAAAAAGAAACTTTCACTTAACTAGGGGGCAGCATGGTGGCTCAGTGCTGAGCACTGCTGGCTCACAGCGGCAGGAACCTGGGTTCGATTCTACCCTAGGGCAACTGTCTGTGTGGAGTTTGCACATTCTCCCTGTGTCTGCTCTGGTTTCCTCCCACAGTACAAAGATGTGCAGGCTAGGTGGATTGGCTATGCTAAATTGCCCATAGTGTTCAGGGATGTGTAGATTAGGTGGGTTATAGGGGTTGGGTCTGGGTGGGATGTCTTAGGGTCAGTGAGGACTTGGTGGGCCGAGGGCCTGTTTCCACACTGTAAAGATTCTATGATTCTTCGTTTCTATGAACTACTTTGATGCCAATATTGGCAATTGGTCATATAGGAAATTAGTTTAACTGATCTGGGAGGTCATGCCTAATGAAGCTGGTTGAATTTTTTGAGGAGGTGACCAAACGTATAGATGAGGGTCGTGCAGTGATGTAGTTAATATGCATTTCAGCAAGGCCTTTGACAAGGTACATATGGGAGACTAATAAAGAAGATAATAAAACACAAAATCTGGGGTAAGTTGGCAAGTTAGATCCAAAATTGGCTTAGTAGCAGGAGACAGAGGACGGTGGTAGAAGTCTGTGTCACTGGAGGCTGATATCCAGTGGTGTAACAGAGATCAGTACTGGGTACCTTATTGTTTGTGATACATATAAACACTGCAACAGTGAAGAAACAGTGATATAGTTCCCTGTTAGATTGGTGTGTGGTTTGGACGGAAACTTGCACACATTGATGTTCTCATGTAATTTCTGCGTTTATCCTTCTGTGTGGTAGATGCTGTGGCTTGGAAGGCACTGTCTAAAGAGCCTTAGCAAGTTGCAACAGTGCATCTTGTAGAGAGTGCACAGCCTAATCATCGTCCATTGATGATAGTGAAAGTTGAAATTGCCAGATAGGGTAAACTTCAGTCCTTTCCAGGTTTCTACCATTTATAGAATAATCCCTTGCTGTCAGCCCTTCCCAACTGCATTACCTCATTTTCTTAAGTTGAAGTCCATTTGCCACTGTTCTACCCATTTGATCAGATCCTTGATATCTTCTGCAGTTTACAGCTATCCTCCTTACTATTTATCACCACCTGTCATGTGAAATTCTTGATCATACCCCCAACATTTAAGTCCAAATCATTAAGATACACCACATCAGCAAGGGCCCCAGCACCAAGCCTCTGTCGAGTCCCATTGGAAACAGACTTCTAGTCACAGAAATAACCCTGTACCATCACTTTGCTGACTCCCAGCAGAGTTGGGTATATAGCTATTAGAAACAGACATATTTATGCATTAAGAGAATTGGAAAATGGAAGATTTGAACAATTCCTGGGCTGCAAAAGGGTTACCATGCGAATTCTTGGAAAATGTCAAGAGTCAAGGAATATTGTAGGTTATTTACTGTTTACTGAAAAAGCAAATAACTTCAGAAAAATAGACAATCCAAAGCTTTAAAAGGGCAGCTAAGGGATCTTTAATTACCTTAATTGCTAGACAATTAGAATAAGTATTGGAAGAAGGTTATTGATGAAGATTGCCTAGCAACAGCTTCTGGACTTTTTTTTTGTTTTGCCACAGAGAGAAATAGCAAATTATGACACTCTTTAAGAGTGGAAGTTGAAAGAAAGCTGCCAGTTGTTGGAAGGGTTAGCAAGGAAATGAGCTCTTTCTCAGTGAGGTGTTGACAAATCCTGAAAATTACAAGTAAGAATTTCTAACTATTTCCAGCTGAAGCTCAAATCTTGTCTGAAGATCTTCCATCATTTTGCTGACCAAAAGCAATTGGAATATTTCAATAGGAAATCAAAGGAACTGTGAGATATCAACCCATTCTTTTCAAATTTGAACTCCTACAAAGGGTGTTTTTTTTCCCATTTTTTAAATTATATATTTCCAACCATAATACCTCTGCAGAACTGTGTCATCTTGTAATGTTTGTGTATGAATGTGGATGTTTATTATAAAAGGAGAATATAATGTGACCCTGCACAGTAGCCTAGTTGTTAACCAGTTTTGCTATCTCTTAAAGGCAAAATATGTGTTTCAGAGTGTTACTTTTGAGTTTATTGAAGAAACTTGGTAAAAAAATCTCTTTTGTTCTAGATAACAGTAATAAAGAAAAATAAATCAACCATTTTGGTGATTACACTTTTGCAGTAGCAGAGCTTAAGTTCCAGTGCACTACTTCAGCCAGAATCATAACATAATACAAACATAATTTTGAAAAGCTAAGATAATTGTAGTGCCCCAAAACAGGACATTATCGATCCAAATTTTATGCCAAATAATTCTAACTAATTCTTGACTACTACATTTTGAGACACAAAATTCCAGCTAAATCAAATAATACTGTTCAATTATTTAAAGGTATAACAGAAGTTCATATCACAGAGATAAAATGTACACCAATAACTGAATACAGAAATTGTACGAAAAGCTCTATTTTATCGGACCAATTAATCTATTGTGAAGTGAAAAATCTTCCTTTATAATCTCGCTTTCCCCACTCCAAAACCCCAAGCAGCTTTCAGTAGCCAGCCTTTTCTGTGTCACACTCCTGGATCTTAGACACAAGATATAGGAGTAGAGTAAGGTTAGAATAATATTGGAAAATATCCATGACGTAAGTGAAAATGATCCATTAAGATGACCCCTTCCATATTTTTTCTCAATCTTACAGGAACATCTCAAGTCTTTACTTAGTGTCTTTCAGCTGCAACTCAATTAAGATTCTTTTAAATGGACTTAGACTACATGTAAGTGATTCAAGATACTCTGCCAAGCATTCCATTTGTAGATTATGAAATAATTGATTAGAATTTATTTTCTCTCTAAAACACTTACAAATTTCTGTTCTAATTGAAATCTTATGGCAGGAATCTGTTGCAGTGCAAACCTAAAATGGCACTTTTTCAAAATGCACTGTTGATCATTCTTTGCTTCAAGCCAAAATAATCACTTCTAGATATATGCAAATCTAATTAATTATAGTCTAATTATAACATACTCAATATGAAGCAAACTAAAAGTCTTGACAGGACTATTTTAAGGTTATGAGTTGGAGATTTCTTGAAATTGCTGTTTATGAAGTGGTACTAACCATAAATTAGGTCCTGGACCAAAATCTGTAATATATACACATTATGGTTTTAAAAATGCATGTTTTCCAGTTTGTTTATTTACTGCAATACAACTTCCTTTTGAAACTGCATTAAAAATGTACTTTAGCACACAGTGTCTTATACAGTCATGGAATTCTTGCAGTTCCCAAAAAGTAAATACAAAAGCCCCTCCTCCTCTAGTACACAATTACACTCTGATATAGATGAAGCAGGGCTTGTTGTTAATTCTCTCTCCCCCCAACCCTTCCCATTTAACCAAAATAAAGTCACCCTGTAAGTTGCTGAAAGTAAGAGTTGATAATGGGCTGGTGAGGGAAAATAGAAGTTTAATTTCTTGGTGAATAATGGGATCAACAGTCTTATCTCCTTAGCCAATTTAAAGGTTGCAAGAGG